AAAAAGTCTCTTTTGGCGCCATGAGATGTTTGAAACACCCTCTCCTAGCATTTCCTCCCCTATGAGATTTGAAATTCATACAGATATTAACTTTATATCTGTCTCTGTTATTTTTTTTTTACTGAAACCTTTAAACTGTATGAGCTCATCAGTGTTATAATTTTGAACGCAAGACAAAAAGACAACACGGCAGACAAAAGACAAAACAACACAAACATTGAGGCCTCTTATAACATCTTTCTCATTCTCAGCTGTTCTTCATATTTCTGTTAACACGTTTTTCTTATTCTTACCCATATTTTAGACTCTGAGTTTTAGCACTTTTCCTATTAATAACAAAGGAGAATTCCAAAGGAGTTGCAGGTTTTTTGTCAGCTTTTCTACTAAAAGGGAAAACTATAGAATTCAGCATCTGGCAAAGCAGGGATGGATATAAAAGCTCCAAATTGTTTTAATAAATTTCTTTCCTATAAATTAGCACTAATGTATAGCACATAAAATTGCATTTGAGCCTTTTGGTCATCAGGTTCTGCACAATCATAAATATTCTTAGACCTTTAAACATTAAGAGAGGTTCCTAATTCAGAAAGAGTTAATGTTAATTTTTTGCAAAGGCCAATTAAGAGACTAATTATGTTTTACTAATAACAGACACGTTAGCTTTTATATCCACAAGACCTGTAAAAGAAATTTGATTAATAGAAAAAGAGAGGACTTTTGATCATTAATGATGGTTTTTCAAAAAATAAATATTTCTCAGTACTTCCAAATCCTCTTACTTTTGATCTATTAATAGTAGGAAATGCATGATAAGGGAGAAGCAAAAGTTGAGCAATTATTTAACTGGTTTGTAGGAAAAGGAACAATATTTTTATTACTTCTAATGAAGAATTTAAGATACCAAAGAGCTGAACAGAAGATTCCAAAAGCAGGTCGGAATGACAAAGCAAAATATTACAATGAAATGTGCAATGAGCTAGAATCAGAAAATCAAAGGGCCGAATTATTCAGTGTTTCTTAAGCTCAAGGAACTGAAGAACAAATTCAAACCTAGAATTGCTATAATCAAGGATGCTTTAGGCAGAATATTAAACGATCCAGAAAGTATTAAAAGAAGATGGAAGGAATACATTGAGTTATTGTATCAAAAGGAATTGGCAGATAAAGAATTCAATGAAATAACTTATGAGCAAGAGCCTATGGTGATGAAGGAAGAAGTTCCAAGAACAGCTAAGATTTTGTTAATGGAATGTTAGTAAGAAAACGTAGTGACAGGAATTTTCACAGGGCCAAAACAATGGTAATAGTCATTTAAACAATCCTCTACCCTATGCCATTACTCAGAATCAATAGTTCCTTCTGCGGAAACCATGGGCAAATTTCTAAAAAGAAGAAAAATTTCTTTAAATCTTTTTTTAGTTACCCTTATATCTCTTGCCTTGAGGGAATCCTTAATCCCCTTTATGAACAATTCATGTTCACTTATTCCTGTCGCATAATTTCGCTGCCCTTACCTCCTCTCGTGCCTCTCTCACAGGGCGGGTAATCCTGTGGCGGCAGCTCCGTGCCTGTCTCACAGGGTGAATAGTCCTGTGGCTGGCAACAATGCGAGTCTTCACTTGTGGTCCCTGACTCATGGCGACTCAATGGATGGACCGGCCGGTCACTTCTAGCGGGCAGCGTTCATTGTCCTTCCTCGTTCCTGGGGCCCCACGTTGGGCGCCAATTATGCCCCGGCCCGCGGGGCATATGAGAACGAATGAGGGGAGTGGAAAGGAGAAGTAAACCTGTCCTCTCAGAGTGGGGTAAACTGAAACCTATCCTTCCAGGGTGGGGTAAACTGAAACACAATGGGGGGAGTGGAAAGAAGAAGTAAGGTTGGGTGTTCCCAGTAGACCGAAACCTGTCCTCCCAGGGTGAGGCAACATGTCCAGGCATGTCCTTAGAGGATTACAAAATGGCTTCAGCTAGGTA